CAAGAGCAAATAAAAGTCGCCTTAAAGGATTTTTGTTACTGTTTTAGTGTTTAAGAGAACCGGCAGTATTATTGTAGTGTATGTAAATTAGAATGGCCCCAGAAGGGACCGGTGGAAGGAGTTAATTTATATAAGGAAAATAACCCTAAAGATAACTATTAATACTGACTCCAAAAAGCTGTCCTCTGACCTCCGTATATACACATGGCGCACGTGTGCTCCATCCTTTAAAAATAATTTGCATACTCTTATAAGTGGGCTGAGTAAAACACCTCTCTCTAGCTGCTGCTAATAGGGTTCGGGTCACCCTGTGAATATCATCCGACACATCTGCTTATCCTGTATTTGTCCTTTATTTCGACTGTTGGCAGGTCATATGCATACTCTGCTTCTTGCTTTTATCTCTGAGACTCTTGCACACTAACTCATGGAGACCCTCCCAGACTCCTCTTTTTTTTTTTTTTTTTTTTTTTTTTTTTTGAGACTCTGTGTAGTCCTGGAACTGGCTCTGTAAACCAGACTGGGCTCGAACTCATAGAGATCTGCCTCTGCCTCCGGAGTGCTGGGATTAAAAGTGTCGACTGCCTCTTTTTCTTTAAGGATTATACGAGTGTGGGCAAATTGCCTGTCAGTTCCTGCCTTCTCAGTTCAGACTCTGCAAACCATAAGGCCAGCACCCTGTTAGGTTTGCTAAGAAAGAACCCCAGAAAGAGGCTGGAATGCTCTGAATAGAGCTGCTGGCCCTCACAGTGGTACCCAAACAGTGACCTCATAGCCCTTGTTGGCAATCCATGGTAGACTTCAGCTTCCGGCTTTCTCTTTGACCTACTTGGCCTTTCCCTGGTAGCTTCATGCTGTTCCCTCAGGGTGTTGGCACCACCTGGGCAGTGATACTTTCCCAGAGGCCTGTTTCATAGGCTTCTCCTGTAAACCTCTCCCCTGTAGAAACCCTTTATGGACATACCTAAGACACGCTCCCAGCCACGGGTACCGTGTGAGCTGCTTCCTGCTAAGTTACTAATCCCTCTTTCTTCTTTTTGAGTTGAAAGTTCTCCAGGAACCTAGAAAATAAAGCCCATGAATTTTCTCTTTTCAGAAATGCTTAGGCAGTTTCCGTTGTCCTGGCAGGACTCCAGCAGATACAGTATTCGATACCAGAAGATGCTGCTGTGGCAGAGACCCTAAGTGGCAGAGCACCGGATAGTCGTCTATCGGCCGAAAAGCCTGTTCATTTCCTGGGCCTCAGATGAACCAGATGTATTTAGCTTGTCCCCTTGGATAGACAGTTAGATTGCCTCTTACTGTATGAATTACTTTTCTCATTGCTTTAAGCAGACGGTGCTCGCCTGTCTGAGCCTCTTTGCTGTTGGCAGAAGCAACTTAAAGGAGGAAGGATTTATTCTAGTGCACAGTTTAATAAGGGATGTAGTCCGTCGTGGCGGAAGACACGGTGGTGGGACCATGAGGCAGCTGGTCACGTGGTCACGTGCAGGAAGCAAAGAGAGATGGATGCTGATGTCCGTGTGTTTTTTTTTTTCTACCCCGCCCTCCTTCGCTATTTCCTGAAGTCTCAGCCATGGGCTGTTAATGCCCATGTGCAGGTTGAATTTTTTTCCTTCCTTTCTCTGGAAACACTTACAGAGATGCGCTCAGAGGTGAACTTCCGAGATGGTTTTTAATTCACTTTTTGCGATCAGCAACGATGCATCAAACAATCTTTTTTGCTTTGTTTTCATAATTTTTATTGATTTTATTGCATCATGGGCCCAAATTCCACTTATCTCTCGGTCCTTCCAAATCTTCCCTTCACTCTTGTAACTGCCCCCAAAATAAAAAATAAAAATTAAAAACACAAAACAAAACTCACCACAAACAAAACAATCTCCCCTTGGGAGCTGGGGTGTGTCACAGTATAGACCCTTTTGTCCACACTTCTTTTCTTGCAAATGTTCATTGCCATGAGTCAGTCATTGGTCTGACTTGAGGCCTCCGGCTTCTGCTATACCATCAATCCTGGACCCTCACTGGGACTCCTCTCGGATATCCTGCCGTTGCCCTGAGTCATGGAGATCCTGAACCTTTGGTTCTGTAGGACTTGTACCTTCAAACATTCTAGCAGTTGAGAGGGTGGATGTTAGGGTAGGCCAGCTCAATGCCCCGGATCTGAGCCTGGATGTTAACTGAGTTGGTCAGCCCGCACCACTGGGCCAGTTCTCTTGTGCCCACACCATCGGGGTCAGCATCAAACAATCTTAAATGAATATTTTTTTCCATATATGTATGAGTCTGTCCATAAGATAAATTTATAGAAGAGGAATTGATGTGTCAAAAGAATTGTCAAATTGTTCTGGTTTGGGATTATAGGAATTCTACCTGTAGGGGAAACGGAGAATCTTCCAGAGAGAAGCAGGAAGCAGGTATGGTACCCTTCCCTGTCTCTCTGTGGGAAACTCTTACGGGAAGAGAGAAGAAGCACAACATGAAATCTATCTTAGGAGGAATCACTCCAAACCAAACAGCTTTCATTTGCTTAGTAGAGAGAAAGAGAGGGAAGAGGGTTATCTCTCACGTACCCCAGGCAGAAGAGTAGTTTTGTCTAGTGGAGACTTAGTACCCAGCTACTGTGGTTGTAGCCGGCAGTAATAGGAGATCTACAGATATACTGCTATTGGAGAGACTGGTTGTGCAGTTGGGAGTACTGTGCATAGCATAAATGCCCGTGAGGCAGTTCCTATTGAGTCCTGAAAAACGTGGGTGGGATTTTGGAAGCCACCTCATCCTTGTGAGGTTTTTTTTTCTTTTTTTTTTCTTTCTTTCTTTTTTTTTTTTTCGAGACAGGGTTTCTCTGTGTAGCCCTGGTTGTCCTGGAACTCACTCTGTAGACCAGGCTGGCCTCGAACTCAGAAATCCGCCTGTCTCTGCCTCCCAAGTGCTGGGATTAAAGGCGTGCGCCACCACTGCCCGGCTCCTTGTGAGGTTTTTATTTGTTAATTTTTTTTTTTATAGTACCAGAGAAGGCAAGAGTTGGTAATACACAGACTACACAACTTGTTCAGTGTTCAAACCTTTTTTTTTTTTAACTCCACGTCTTTGATTCATTTCCCCTGGGGGTTGATCTTTTCTTAACAGTGACAAAGTAAACATTTCTCCCTTGAGCCCTTGTCTCTAGCAAACCTGGGTGTCACCAAGTCATTTTTACCAACTGCCATTTGCGTTTGTCATTGATTCCCCCACCCAGTAGAGCTTTATCACAATCGTCATTGTCCCTGTTTGAGCAGACAGACTACGATCGATCTTCATGCTTACTTCCCCTTGAGATTGTGTGGTGACAAAGCTTTGTGTACAATCAGAACTGGGTCTTTCCTATCCCCTAAGGTCCAGGCTGGCTTCCTGCAGGGAGCTTTTGTTTCCTGTTCCACCACATCTTGGCTGTGCCATTCTTAATAAACAGGGCTGCGGTTCTGTCCTCACAGATTAACATTAATGAAAGGCCTCCTGGATGCATGGCAGCCCAGAGACTTATTTAATATTCTCTCTGTTTTAGATATCAGGTGGCATCTTCAAATGAATTTTTAAGTATCTCCGTGATAATGAAGAAGATCGGAGACATCAATTAGGAACCAGGAAGACAAGTCTGAAGGGTTGATGCGAACATCCTAACACATGACAAAGGTAACTGGTAAATTCATTATTCCTGGACGAACCCTGGCAGCCTTCTCTCCAGACATCTGTCTGCCTTGATCATCTTATTTTCCTCTGCTTGCAGTTGTAATTTTCAAGGCCAAGTCTGAAAATTTTCCCTGAGCCTTTTCTAATCATCGATACCCTCAGGGACAACTCTGCTTCAAACTTTGCGTTCATGCTTCTCACTTGGAAAGCAAGCCCAGGACACAATATACTATTATTGACTAAATATAAGTATATCCTTCTCAAGCATGTCTGGGTAATTTCTTTCTAGACTTTTAGAGTCAGAAGTGTTAAGAAATATTCATGTTGAGCAATAACCTATACAAATCTGATGGAATTTTATTTTTATTTATTCTTTCAAGACCAGGTTTTTCTGTGTATCCTGTAACTCACGCTGTGGACCAGGCAGAGATCTACCTGGTTCTGTCTCTCCAATATTGGGATTAGTGGTGCATTCCTTTAATCCCAGCACTATGCAGACAGAGCCAGGTAGATATCCTTTGAGTTCGAGGCCAGCCTGGTATACAGAGGGAATTTCATTTTTAAAAAGCATGAGAGGAGAAAGAATGCCGAAGGACTGGTATTTGTGATTCAAAAACATATGTTTTCTCTCTCTAAGCCCCAGTATGAGCCTTTTTTTCTGGAGGGGGTCAGAGGGTGAAGGAAGATCATCAAAAGATAACGCTTGGCTTTGTGGTCTTAATAAACTTTATTTGAATCAGTCTACGTCTAATGTATTTTTGGACCTATCCTTTTTGATCCAAGGCTGCTGTTGGTAGCAACTGCTTTCCAGCCGGGTACTCTGGGACAATTTCCTTTATGGACAATGAGACTTTGGGTTCTGTCGTGCATTCTGGAATGCCAGGCACACTTTCACGTTCTGTGATGTCAGGGACCTGGAACCAAGGCAGGCTCACGCAGAACCCAGCCGCAGCACAACCGGGCTGCGGGGCTTGAAGCGCCAGGACTCGGCCGCAGCCTCCTGGACAAAGCTCCCGCGGGCCCCGCCCACCGCAGCTCCCGTATCTTTATTGGCCAGCTCTCCGCCCGCCATTAGGGAGCGGGACGGTGCCCTTACGAGTGCTGGTTGGTCTAATCGTAATGACGGTAAGGTCTGCCATTGGTCTTCAGGCCTCAAAATGGGCGGGACAAGGCAGAGAGGCGGGGCGGGAGGGCGGCGCGGAGTGCGCCGGCGCGTCGTCGGGGACGCCGGGTCCAGGAGCTTGCTAGGGAACTGGTGTTGTCGCCCCGCCCCCTCGGGGCTTTCGGTCCCGTTAACTGTCGGCCGGGCAGGTTCCGCAGCGCAGGGCGACATGCCGGTGCGCTTCAAGGTGAGGCCCCGGGGCTCGGCGGCGGGTGGCGGGGACGCCGCGGGGTGGGTGCGTGACGCGCCTGTGCCGTACCGAGCCTCCTGGCCGGAGCCTGTGCGGGGCGGAGGATGCTCCGGCCCGTGGCTCAGCGCGGAGGTGCGGGCGGGGGAGAGTTCGATGGGGAGCCCGATGGGGAGTCAGTCTGGGGTCGCCAGGAGCGGAGGCGGAAGGAGGGCCCTCGACAGTGGGACGAGAGGCTGCTGTGTGTGCGGGACACCTGTGGTCCCTCTGACACTGGCATCCAGCTCCTTTCCTGCAGAACTTGAAAGCGCGCGGGTCTTTTAAAAGCTTGAGAAACGGGCCCCAAGTAAGAGGAGAACGTGGGTAGGTGTGCAGCCTGCTAGCTGTACGTTTGCTTTAGGGTTTGGTGACAGTTCCACCTAGCGTGTCTGTGTCTAGCACCTCTCCACGCAACAGGTGGCCGCAGCGTTCCTTGTAATCCTCGACTCTTAATTCTAAAGTGCCCGTCGACCGAGTGGGAGGGGAACTCGTCTTTCTCTTAATTGGCTTTTAGTAAAAGGAACTAATTGTGACTCATAACATTATGTACTTGATGGTGATTTAGGATAAATCTCTCGTGGTGAGGACTTCTTAGTTACTACACTCGGGAATTAGAGAACCAGTTATAGTGCAGCCTCCTTGAGAGCCAGACTCCTGCTTCCGTCTGCTTCAGGTGCTTATGAGGATTAGGGGGCTACTTAGCCCAGGGCTGGGTAAATATTAGCTGTTATAAAGGAGCTTGTCTGGGGTTTAATTCTCATTCTTGGGCCTTTCAAAAACACTCTTCAGAGGTCACGATTTTTTTTTTCTTTCTGATGCCGGATTTTAAAACACTGTGCCCATATTGTACTTTTCGTTATAGGGGCTGAGTGAATACCAAAGAAACTTCTTGTGGAAAAAATCCTATTTGTCAGAGTCCTATAATCCCTCAGTGGGGCGAAAGTACTCATGGGCAGGACTTAGATCGGATCAGTTGGGTAAGTTGAGCAAACCAATAACTATTATAACTTGAAGAAATCTTGGGTTATGTTTGCAGAACAATTCAAATCCATCTGTGTTGGCTGATTATGTGTCATTGACAAATATTTATTGACGCTATACTGTGATCCCGGCATCCCTTAGGTACAGAAGAACAAAGAAACTCAGAGAATCAGGTGTTGCAGGTTGTATATAAAATAGCATGATAGCAAAAAGGTTGCAGAGGAGTATGGAAGGGGAAACACTTGAGATTGCTTGTTCTGGAAGAGGCTTTTCTGGAGGTGTTTGAGCTGGGACTGGAAAACAGAGAGGGAGAAGCCTGGAGATGAGGACTTGCAAAGTCTTGAAGCATAGGGTAACAGAGGCATGACTCGAACTTGTCCGTCTTGGTCAGTGTCATGAGTTCAGAGATGATGCTATTCTTCTTACGTAAGCTGCTTCTCCTGACCTCAGAGAATTTGAGCCCTTGGGCTGAGGTTTCCTACAGCCGGTTGGAAAGAGTGGACTGACTTTATTATATCTGCTGTTTCTTTCACCAGATAAGATTTCGGAGCGAGTCCTCTGTCTCCTTGTTTGTCAGTGGAAGTGCAAGGCTTTGAGACACCCTACTCCCTAGTAAAACTGAGTCTTAACTTAGTTTTATTTTTGTATGCATTCTGGTACACCAGGGTACATATGCATGCAGAGACCAGAGAACCATCCTGTGTGTCTTTCCTCAGGAAGGCGGCCCACTTCATTTTAAAACAGGGTCTCTCGTTGCTCACCAGTTAGACTGGGCCTCCCGGCCAGAGAGCCCCAGAGGTCCACCTGTCTCCGCCTCTCCAGTGCTCAGACTGTAAGAGCATGCGGCTATACTTAGCTTCTTGATATGGGTCCTGGTGGGTGAAACTCAGGTTTTCGTGCTTACAAGGCGACTGATCATATTATCAACCCTAAAGCTAGATTTTAAATGAATGACTCCATCTGGATGTGGATATACAATAATTATAATCTTGAGCAAATCAAACCTGCCAAGTGGGCCTTAGGAAGTGACACTGCGCAGGGTCGAAGGGGGTGTTGGTTGGTGAGGGTTTTCTGTACACGGGTCAGCACCTAGTGTCCTGAGGATGATGTGTAAGAATGATGGAAACCCCTCAAATGTTAGGCGGAAGCCAGGGAAAGACAAGACTTACTGTAAGGGTCCGAGTCTGGGAAGGCAGAAAAGCAAAGAATGTGTTTACATCAGGGTTGGAGAACAGAAGAGAGTGTGGGTAGCTCTTTAGGGCTCCTCTGCTGCATAAAGAATCTTAGCCCAGTGCTGGACTTCAGAGACAGGATGTTTCCTGATTCTCAGGCAGCATGCTGGAAAACCTCTCTGCTCATAAGTTCTGCACCTTGGAGGGTTCGTTAGATGGAGAATACAAAATAGACTGTCTTCAGGTATAACCATCTCAGCTGAAAGCTATAGGGGGAATTGACTGGACAACAGACAACTGGTCAACCTGATTAATTGCCCTTTAGCATTTTAGCTGAGGTTGTGTTCAAGGGGGCCAGTATGAGAGGTGCCCAGGTAAGCAAAGCCATTCTGGGGCAGGGTTACATTGTGAAGGAATTTTCAGTAAGCACAAGCGATAGTACAAGAATCTCAGGCTGTTCAGCACTGGGAGGAGGCTAACAAGGAGCAGCAGGCTTACCTAGAGCTGGCTGGCCGTTCTGGGAATCCAATGCATTCCCCACCACCAGGGGCATTTGCTGGAGCTGGGAGGACAGAGGGCCCACTGACTGGAGAGTTGTTCTGTTTTCATGCTTCCTATATTAACAGAGGGGCTGGAGAGAATGGCTCTGTGGTTCAGAGTGGTGGTACTCTTGCAGAGGACCCAGGGTTAGTTTCTGGTACCCACATGGCAGCTCACAACTCTCTATAACTATAGTTCCAGGGGATCTAGCTCCCTCTTCTGGCCCCTGAGGGCACTAGTCATGTATGTGGTATACACACACACACACACACACACACACACACACACACACAAAGGCCAAACACACAAGATAAGAATGAACAGAATCGGGAGGATAGCTGGGTGGCGTTCAGAGGCAGAGTACGCGCCTAGCATAGGCACTGGGTTTGACCCCCATGCTTCCCACAACGTTAGGAAAATCTTGTTAACCCTCCTCCCACTTTCAAATTGATCTTTAGTTTTTCCTAACCTTTTACAAGTAGTTTCAAAGGGTATAGATTTCGGTAGAGTGTGTATATATCATATATATCATATATATCATATATATATATATCTGTTCAAACTTTTAAGCTGTCACCTCGGCTCCTTCATTTATAGAAAGTGTTTATCATATAATTTACAGCGCTATGCCCAACACCAAACAGGCTTGCCAAATTAGCTTTCTGTGAGCAAAGTCTGACTTCAGCCTTGATTCATGTTCAGGTGTGTCCGTGGCCTTCCCAGGCCGGCTCTCCACCCTGAACTTTGTGGGTGGATGGACAAGCATGGAATTGGCTGCCAGCTCTTTTATTATTTCTAGCCTGTTCCTTTGCTTTCCTGTGACAGTGTCCCTAAGGACACTTGTGCTTTCTTGTCTGTTGACCCCCGAGCCCTGAGTTCTTGTACTGTGTCCCCGTGAGCCAACACAGGCAGTGTGGGGCTGCTCGAGATGCGTGCCTGTCTTTTGTGAGGTGGAAGCAGGGCCGTGGGGGCTGTAGCAGATAGACACACAGATGACAGACAAGCATCAAGCAAGAGCACACATGGGATTCAGAATCGCCCCTTTCTGCTCACCGCACCCCCAGGATGTCTCTGTGTGCCTGTCCATTGAAGTCTACTAATCTGGGAAGCCCCTGAGCCTGGGACCCTTGCTTCCAAGGCAGACAGAGCTCAGAGAGAGGTTTGGGAGTGATGGCTTTACCTCTTGTCAGCTTTTCTGTTGCCTCCTCTTCCTTTCGACGGTCTTACTCTTCCTGTGGCGGGAGCAGCTCTTTTTTCTATTTAAAGAGTGGCCTGAACTAGGGCATTCACTCAGCCCACAAACCTCGGTGGAAGACTGAGGTCCTGTATATTTGCCTCCTGGACAGAGGCGTAGAGAAATTGTATCTTAGCTCTTGTTAAATAGTCATTCTTTTGAATTCTCAGGAAACCAAGGCAGAAGGAGGATGAAGGTCTGGCATGGTGATATCTCATCCCCTTTCGTCTTGGTCTGTCCTGCATAAGAGAAGCTTTGGGAAACGTTCCAAGTGTGGACAGACCGGGGCTTATTGTTCTGCTAAGTAGCACAGGAGAGTAACCAGAAACGGAGGAGCACATACTTCCTGGCCTGCCAGGTCTCTCACCTTGTGACCCCTGTGACTTGTGTGAGAGCAACTTGGACACTGACCTCAGCATTCAATTTTAATACTTCTTTAAAGCAAAATAATTTGAAATTGAAAACTATACCTTGTTAGGTTTTAAAAGTCCTACCATCTGGAGGAGTGTGTGTGTGTGTGTGTGTGTGTGTATGCATGTGCGTGTGAGCATATGCATGCATGCATGTGTGCACCACAGGGTATGTATAGAAGTCACAGAACTACTTGTGGGAGTTGATTTTCCTTTCTACCATGGGGTGCTGAGGACTGAACTCAGGCTGTCAGGCTTGGTGGCAAGCGTCATTTTGGTCTCTCAACTGAATTTTAAACTCCATCTCTCTCCTTAGGTTTAGTTAAAAGCTCTTCTCGACTGTGAACTTTGGTAGTACTACTTTCATGTTACATGTTTTGTAGGGATCACAAAAGAACCAGGTTTTATCTCAAAAAGAAGAGTTCCCTACCACGACCCTCAGATTTCAAAGTACCTGGAGTGGAATGGAACTGTCAGAGAGAATGATGCGCCTGTCCCACCAGAACCCCAGACCATTCGAACTCCAAAACCACAAGAGGCAGAGCAAAAAGAAGATGCTAACCAAGAAACAGTTCTCTCACAAGAGGCTTCCAGGGTTCCCAAGAGAACTCGGTCTCATTCTGCGGACTCTAGAGCCGAAGGGGCTTCAGACACTGTGGAAAAGCACCAGGATGTAACAAGAAACCATGCCCTGGTTAACACAGACGTGGAGCTGAGACCTTCCACCAAACCTCTCTCCGAGAGCATAGATCCCAGGGTAGGAAGAGCCACTGTGCTTCTTTTCAAAAGTATATTTAGGGTTTTTTTATTTGTTTTCTTGTCTTGTGTCTCAGGCTGCTGAAAGTTACTGAGAAGGGTTCTGTTCTTAATGGTCGCTACTCTGTACTGACTGTACTAAGACATGCTGTCCCTACATGGGCAGTCTGCCTCTGGATTTTATTCATCAGAGACTTGTGGCCAAGTCCCCGGGACGAGGTCACGCTGAGGCAGTAGGCTGTTTCTCTGGCCTGGAGCTCAGCTGACTTGTACCTATCCTTGTTTGACTTTCTTATTGTACCAGCAAGAGAGCAAACAGAATCTCAGCTGACAGGAGGCAAAAGGAAGAGAGTTCTGGCTGGCTCTCAAAGATCTTGCCGTTCTGTCCTCTTATGTCACAGCTGGCTTGCAGCGGGTCCCCAAAAGCACATAAGCAGAGGCTGCAGGGGTGTGTGGGGCGTCTCGCTGCCTCCCACAGTTCCTTCTCCAGGCACTGCCCTTTCCCTCATTTCATCAGCCACACTGCCTGCAAGCCGGGAGCTACCCAGGAGAGTGTGACTTGTTGAGGAAGCCAGGCCATGCAGGGGTCCATGGAAGGTGACGTGGGAGCTCGGTGGGCGGGGGAAGGGTGTCCACAGAGCCGTGGGATAGGGCAGGGTGCTGTGCTTATTCATTCATTTTTGATATTATATTTACTTGTGAATGGTGGTAGAAAGGAACTGAGCAATGGCTCTACTCTATTTTTTTTGAGATGTGTTAATAGCATAATAGCAGGCTGCTATTAATAAGAAAGGAATTTTAAATATTTAGACAGTTTAAAAGTGATGATTTAAAAGTTAAGAGTTTGCCATACTATGAATATAGTTTGCAAAACTGTAAGGTACACTTAAAATTTAAAGGGATAAGGTTCGTGTTGCATGCTCTATAGCACAATTTAGGCTTAAAAGGAGTTTGTGTCAGCAAATTTTAATAGCTTTAAGTGGGTTTTTCCCCCCAACAGTTGGATAGACATCTTCGTAAGAAAGCTGGATTGACCGTTCCTCCCTCGAATAATGCCTTGAGAAATTCTGAATACCAAAGGCAGTTCGTTTGGAAGACTTGTAAAGAAACTGCTCCAGTGTTTACAACCAATCAGGTAGCTTAACAGATGTGTTTCTGAGTGTTCTCACCTGAGTTAGTAACGCAGACTTGTTTGTTAGTACAGGCTAAATGGACGAAAGTCGGTACTGACCTAGGCCTGGTTCTGAGTTCTGGAAGACAGAGCTTTGCTAGGCCCTCGCTCTCCCTTATGGTTTACAATAGTAATACTACACTGTCCTGTGCTATTGATCAGTATTGCCAGCTCCACTAAGTAGGAGGTGGGGCTGTGAAAACGTGGGGGAGGATAAGTTCACATACCAGAGGATCTTTTTATTTCACTATCTTCTGGATCATCAAATTGGTTATATTCTAAATGGTTTATTTGACGTTTTCGCATGATGCCTGTTTTTTAAGAAAGACTAACTGCTTTGGATATTTATGTATTGAAAGTAGCACTCCCTATAACTGTCCCCTTGAGTCAGTTGAATGATGACAGTAATTGAGTTTTTATTTGCAAAAACTCAAAAGGCATAATGGAACTAATTTGTGAAAGAAATTTCATTATATTTTGTGCAATTTTAGTATTTTATTACCTTGCTAATAAATATTCTGTTAAGTGCTGCTGTCCTCTGGGGTATTCTTAGACTGATTTTTTTTTCTTATGTTTTTGACTATACTTTCAGCTTCTGAAGCCCATGATGGCTTCGTCTTTCTCCCTTTCCTTTTTAAATAAGTCTACACATACGTTTATGTGCCCTCAGTTCATTTTGCCTGCACTTGGATGGTCCTGTGTCCTCTGTACTTAAAATCCACAGGAGGATTTAGCTGCAGCAGGGGAATAGCATCTGTGAGCATCACATCAGCGGACATCCCACTAACCATGTCAGCTGTGGAAGCTGTGTTTGCTTGTGATCAGAATACGTTTTAGGGTCGTGTGGGGTGTGATGCACAGTGATGTGCCCTCTCTCTGTGACCTGCTGTGTGACCTGCTGGTCCGCGCCCCTGCTGCCCGCTCACCAGTGTTCCCTAACGATGCCCCTGCCTTGCTTGAGAATCGAGTTTTGTTTTTGTAGAGCATTCGAGCTATAAGCTAGAGCCGATTCAGATCAAAGCCTGCTTGACAGAATTTACATGCCAGCGAAGGCGTGTGGCAGAAATGTTTCGTAGGATCAGAAGCACAGTGTAAAATAAACTACTCCCAACCATCTCAGTCGTGAGCCCATTGCTCCATTAGTGAGCTGTTCAGAGGGCTGCTCTGGGAGCAAATGCTCTTTGTAAGTTCAAAGCACGTCTGCTTTGAGGTCTGTGGGAGAGCTTGCTGATACACTTTCAGTGCCGCTCTAAGGAGCCGTCGGCTTTTAATCAGGTGCCTCATCTGGTAAGGTTGTCATATTAATATTTAAAGGAGTTGCACTAGTTTTGGCTGGAAAGCCCTTGAGGTTGTGTTGTTCTGAGGAGATGTAGCATTTGGACTGGATCTTTGCAGTCAGCATTGTGAAGCAGGGGTCATGGCTGTCTTACCTGGTGCCCTCTTTTCCTTGTGACTTCACTGTCAGCAGTGGCATGATGCCACCACATGGGAACCATATTGAATATTAAGGACGAAAGAAAACATGTAAAAGAGAAATATAGTAATTCTTGGCTGTTCTTTCTTGTCTCAGTGAAATTGCTAAATATAAGCAAGGACGGGGCAAGAAAAAAAATCCCAGCGTGGCACATCAGGTGTCATCTTAGGTTCTTCCAGAAAAAGGGAAATCCAGGCAAAGAGAAGGATCATTCATAGAGCTGACAACAGTTGCTTTAATAAAAGTAATGTCCGTTCGTCTTATGAAAATAGGCTTATTTCATTTGTCTCATTACTAAGCTGGTGGGAGGAAGTGGAGGAACTCTGGGAGGAAAAATCAGATAAGGAGTGTGGGGTGTTTTTGCTTATGTAATAGTTTGATCATGATTTGACTGTTTACTCAAAACATAGTAACCAGTATAGAAATTTGACCACTGGCTACTAATGACACATGGTGAAATCAAATGGCAGTCATATATAATTTTCCCTTTTTGTGAATTATAATTTAACTTTTTACGGGTTTCTAAGATCAATTAAACACCTAGGTTCTGTATCACTTAATAACCAACCAAAAACTTAACAGCTATTTTTTTTTGTTTGTTTTAAGGTTTTCCGTAATAAAAGCCAAATTATTCCACAGTTTCAAGGCAATAAATTCATCCACGAAACTGAATACAAGCGAAATTTCAAGGGTCTAACTCCAGTGAAGGAACCAAAGTTAAGAGAGTATTTGAAAGGAAACAGCAGTTTTGAGATGTTATCTTCAGAAAAGAAGGTACCCACCAGCTCTGACCTGCTCCCAGGGCCCTCAGACCCTGCATGTCTTCCTTTGTTACCACCTGAAACTCTTTTTCCTAGCGTTAATCCATTTGTTCAGTACATGTCAGGTGCTCATTGACTCCTTAGTGGAGCCAGGTCCCATGTAGGTACTGAGAGTACAGGAGGCAGACACGCCAGGCTCGGCAGCAAGGCTGCTGGAGACAGAGCCATAGATAGCTATCACTGATGCAGCATGACCGTACTTAGCAGTGTGGCAGGTAAGTCTCCCAAGTGTAACATCAGACGACTGGGCTTGCAGCAGTGTGTGCTGCAGGGCAGCAGGAACCAAAGAGGTGTGCATTCCAAAGTGTCACTGGTAAACGTGGCACACACTTATCTTAAGGGAACATTTTATTATGCTAAATTATAGTTAGTATAATTCATATCATTTACTCCAGTGAAAATAAGCATCTGGGTTTGTGTGAGAATTCACAGGTAGTCTGAGTTATGACATTAGGCTAGAACCATCGCAGAGTGTACTTTGTAGCTTTTAAAAATAGAAAATATATGACTAAAAGTGAAATTATATACCCATGAGTGTGTATGTGCGTGTGCATATACATGCACATACACATGCACACACACATATGAGCTCATGTGCACACACGTGCATACACACACATACATGAGCGTACAGCACACATACTTTTTTTTTAACCTATGACATTCTTGGGCTGGGAGCGTTATTTTATATAACACTGTGATAATTAGCAAAACAGTAATTACTATAACACTTGAATATAAATTTAAGGGCTAATTAAAAAATCTCTGTTCAATATGTAATAGCATTGTTTGCTTAATATTTTGATATTTGTTAATCTTTACAAAAAAAAAAACATACGATCAGGTATCTAAACTCCTTGGTTTCAAAACTTGATTTTTTGTTTGTTTGTTTGTTTTAGTAGCTAAAACATCTAAAAGCAAAAATGTAATAGACTCTCCAGGCCTACCTTTATAACATGTATGTTTTTACTTTAATGTCTGACATCTCTAAGCATAAACGCTCAGATTATTTCCATTTCAATATAATAAGGCAGCCGAACCTTTAGACTTAGAAGTAGACATGGCGTCGGAAGACTCAGACCAGACTCTAAAGAAGCCTGCTCCGTGGAGACACCAAAGGCTCGGGTATGTACCTCTTCAGGAAACAGTCATATTTGGGTGGCCAACACGCTAAAATACTTACTTGCATTCTGTCTCTCTTAGAAAGGTGAATTCTGAATATAGAGCAAAATTTCTGAGCCCAGCCCAGTATTTATATAAAGCTGGAGCTTGGACCCGTGTGAAGGAGAACTTGTCCAACCAGGTGAGTGCGATTTCACATGTCCTTCCGGCCTAGCCAACAGTTCCACAATGAGTTTCATTCACAGTTTAAAGGTGGATGATACAGTGATAGCACCCCAAACCCCACCATCTTAACTCACAGTTGTCAACTTAGCAACATGTTACTGTTTTTATACCAGTGACCTCCGTGGAGATTGACATTTATTATTGAAGTCATTTTTTTTAAAAACCATGAAATCTCAGATAGTTGTAATGAGTTCAGTTTCCAGGACTGTAGCCTTATTGGTTGGGTTCTCATGCCATTCAGACCTCAGTCTTTGCACTGAAGGTTCTTTCTATCAGTAATGAGTGTGCTAGAAAGACTGCTACAGTTTGCACCCCTGCAGCATGTAGGAGAGGGGCGTGTGCAGCCTGAGCTCATTCAGGTTCAAGTTCTCTTGGGGTGTCCCGATGGAGGGGAGAAGCTGGGATCTAAAGATGGGGCACAGGAGAGGGCAGTCATAGCCTCATGCTGAGAAGCGGGGCTTCTAGTCAAAGGATAAATGGTAGAAAGTTTATATTACTATATAATTTGTGTCTTAAAACTGTGTCTCGACACTTTTCAACCTTTCTCATGTGCACAAGCTGAATTAAAACATTGTTGCTTGGTTGGATTGTATGTAATAGGCATTCTTTTCCATCTGTCTTTCCAAAGACGATAGATTGGCTCTGGCCCTGTTGAGCTGCTGGTTCCTTTAGCTCGCCCCTCCCAGACAAGCAGCCTGCCACGCCCTCCTCAGTGCTCTGATTTTTTCCACTGCAGCTACTCTCAGAACTGCCTACCTGAGCCTAGCTCAGGCTAACAGACAGGAGCAGCTAGCCTAGCTCCGGCTAATGGACAGGAGCAGTGCCCGTCCATCTGGGCCTTTGTCTTTTCACTGTGGTAAAATCAAGTGACAATTGGAGTCTCACAGCAGTTATGATGGAAAAAGGACTGTGTCCCTAAGCTCTTGTGCAGGTTATTAGTTAGTATTCTAGGTCTTGGCAGAGAGATTGTTTCTGGGGGACTGGACAAGGCAGGAGAAAATGGGAACACAACCGTGTGGCTGCTGAGGGCCTGTGGACAGGGATTGAGGTTGGAGAAAGTTGCTGTGGAAAGATTCTTGGCTAGTGTGTGGTTTCCTCAGACTGAGGAGAGTTGGTATTTAGGCCTCAATTCTAAGCATTGGATGCAGTTGGAGGGCTGGCGTGTTGAAGCCAGGTGGAATTCTTACATTGATTGCCCCAAGGGAGGAGAGCTGTGCTGTCATGGAAAGGTGATAGCTCCATGCTGTAATCTTCTCAGAGATGTACTCATTGCTACTGGAAGTTACAGGTTTATAAATGAGGGTGAAGTTTGCCTTAGCCTTTTACCAAAAAACCAAAATTTAAGTTGGCAAAAGAAGAGCGTAGCAATTCTCTAAGAAGCCAGTGGTCAGTTCTTATTAACCAAGTTACAGACATTTAATAGGGCCCATGTTTTGGCTAAATACTAGACTGTTTGTGGTATGTGGCTGATACTGAGTGACCTGAGTATGTATGTGTGGTGTGTGCAGTGTGCACACATGGCTGTGCATGTGGAGGCCACAAGGTGGTATCGCTCACCACCTTACTGTGTGTGACAGCATGTCTCACTGAACTCAGAGCTCACTGCTAGGCTGTGTGGCTGGCCACTGAGATCCCATGATCCTCCTCTCCCTTCCAGTGCTGGAATTATACTGGGGATAAGTGGCAAGTGCTTTATCCCGCTGAGCCATCTCTCCAGCAACAGTGCTAACACTGGTGCGCTTTCTGGCTTGTAGTTCAGATACTAACTTCATTTTCCTTAAGTCCCACGTACTTACTCATGGGATAGACATCCCGTGTGAGTTGGTTTTGAATGTGGCTGTGTATCCCACACTCACAGCATTTCAGTTACACTGCTGCTGTAGAACGTTCGTAAAAGACCGCCTTTAATAACGGAATCTGTTTTAAGTTCATTTGGTTTTGGTTTTGAAAAGGGTCAAACCTTGAATTCGCAGCAGTCCTCCTGCCTCAGCCTCGCCCAAGCAGGTTTCACAGGCATGTGTCACGACGGCTCACTGGCGTGTATGTCTTTTTGGCTTGGTTATTGACGTGACTTTTGAGGACAGTTAGGACTTTGATTCTAGATAAAGAGCCGCAGTTGAGATACATCCCATAATCAGACAGATGTTGTGAGAACCAGGTCTAATTGCTCCTCATTCATTCATTCCGTTTTCTGGATTTGATTTTTCTGCACGTAAATTTTAAATGATTTAGTTCAAATTGGGAAAAATAATTCAGGAATGAAAACATTCTACTTACAGTGTTTAGATTGTGTGTGTGTGTGTGTGTGTGTTTGCACGTGTGCGCATGTGTCAGTGCCTGAGGCCAGAAGAGGGCATTGTATTCCAGGAACTGGAGTGATAGGTGGCTGTCAGCCACGTACTGTGGCTGTGGAGAGCTGACTGACCTGCTGCTGTCCAGGAGCAGCAGGTGCTCTCAGCTTCTGAGCTGTCTCTCTACCCATGGCTTGTAATTATCCCGCCACTGGGTGACATTACTGTGCAGGTTATCTGTCGGGAACAATGCAGTCTCATCCTTTACAGTAGTCCTGGTTGCTGGCCCTCGGGGTCGTTTCTGGAATCTCCACTCAGTTTTCCCCTCTTGCCCATAGAGGGCCTTACTTTGAGAGACGTCGGCCTCGTCAGTTTTTCATCTTCGTTTAGGACTGGAGACACTTAAATGTAAAACTGGAGGTTAGCACTGACATTTTTAGGAAGGCTGGCTGATGGCAACTTCTGGAAGCATTGGCGTTCGTGAATCATTAATAAATAGAACTGAACAGTCCTAGTGAGTTTCTGCAAAGTGCCCACACTCCATCCTTCCGAATGGCTGTGGATAGAGGGCACTCCTCCCGTTCTCTTAGTAAGCACAGGGAGCTCCCGAGTGAACAGGACGCAGCCTCCTTGACTGGTCTTTCCACTGCTTAGCACTGAAGGCCGTGTTGATTGGAGCCTTTTGTACCTGCCCTTCAGTTCGTGTCCTTGTTTTTCTGCTAGGGCACACACAGGTTGTGCCAGCACTGGGGTGGGAATTTACATACAGGTTGGCCTCCTTTGTCTTGTAAGCCCGTTGAGTGTGAGAGTAGGCTCTGGTCGCTGTTTCCCTCTGCTGCTCAGTCCGCACTCTGGACGGGTATAGCTCAGTGCTTCAGTGCGACCACTCCTCCCTGCTGCTCATAGTGCTGCTGCAAACGAATGAGACCCACGGTAATACGTAAAACATCTCTCCCTGTGAATGCGAAACTATTAACAGTTATACCTAAAATAAATTGTCAAGGGATAAAAGATTTTACAAAAGTTTGGCAAAAATATAGTTATTAATAGCAAAAAAGGTGGCTAAATATAATAACATTTTTAAAGCAGAGTGTCAACAATTCAGCAATTCACCTTTTTTTTTTTTTTTTTTGGCACTGTATAGATGCATTAAGAGAAGCCAGCAGGTGGCAGTGTCATGTATAAAATAAAAAGGTAGTTGAGTTCTTTTCATATGAAAGTACATTATTTGCAAATTTGAGAATTCAAAGTATTTTATAGTTCCTCATGATTTAAAAAAAATCTTCTTGTTGAATATATCACCATTATTTGGTAAGGATTTACTTTAAATTATGTACTTAGTATGCTTTTGTTTGTTTTTGTCTTTTTTTTTAAGTTGAGATTTTGCTGACTTCAAGGGAAACTGAGGGATTTGGAGAAAGAATCTCACTTGTTAGTGGGGTCTTCTGTAATAGGAGAAGCTGGCAGAAAGCTGGGGGATTAAACCAGACTGGGAGTTACTCACATATAACCACTCTTCCAGAGATGGGGAACGAGGAATAGCAATCAATTACCTATCAGCAGCACCATCACAGCCAGAGATGGGGAGTGAGGGGTGACAATCAATTACCTATGTCACAGCCAGAGCTGGGGAGCGAGGGATAGCAATCAATTACCTATATCACAGCCAGAGATGGGGAGTGAGGGATGACAATCAATTACCTATCACCAGCATCACAGCCTCCCTAGAGTATGGCTGATCCTGAGCAGTATTAAGATGTCATGGTTACTGAGTTAGTTATTACTAAGGATACAAGAAATGTAATTGCATTGACAAGTTGATATATATTTAGAAGGAAGAATAATAAGGTACAGTATCTCACTGATTCCCGTTAGTACTCATTTATGGCATTAACCTGTCATTAAGTGTGTCTCTGTATTCCTCCCCCAGGGTTCTCTAAATGCCATGTGGTATGCAGAGGTTGGTTGCTTTTGAGTTCTTAAAAACTATAATAATGCATAGAATACCTGTGTAATTTCAGTTGGAGTAAAAAAGTATTTGTCAATATTTTTCTTAGCTATGACACATGTCTCCTTGCCTAGTAGTCCGGAATAAACTAGTTGCATTATGCTTTTGCTTAATTGTTTTAATTTCTGCTGAAATGCATAGTCTGATGAGTGTCTGTGGCTGTGATGTTGCCTGCCTTTCTCATTGGACGGTGGCTGTATCTGAGCTTTGGCTTTCTTATGTACTTGTCAGTATTTGTAATCGCGCCTTGGCAATAATGGAAGACATCTGAACTCTCCTGCCTAGGTTAAGGAGCTCCGAGAGAAGGCTGAGTCTTACAGGAAGCGAGTTCAGGGAACACATTTTTCTCGGGACCATCTGAACCAGATTATGTCCGATAGCAACTGCTGTTGGGATGTATCCTCGATCACAAGCTCGGAAGGCGTCGCTAGTAGCAACATCCGAGCATTGGATCTTGCTGGGTGAGATGTTCTTTGTGGAAAGTGAGAAGAGTGTATTGTAGCTTGTGTGCATCATAGGATGATGTCATAGGATGACGTAGGAAAGTGACCCAGCCTGTGTGCGTCATAGGATGACATAGAAGAGTGACCTGACTAACTCACAGTCTGCTGTCTAGTCAAATGGGTCTCTTATTTTATTATTTAACACTTATTCTCTGTGGAAAATACAGCCAACTATATTATACTTGCTCTTCGTTTTTCTATATAAATAATAAATAGCTCTGGGCAGCTAACTTTTGCAATATTCTTTGTAACAACAGAACTAGAATAACCATAAGATAGCTGTCAAAGGGCCTTAAGAAGTTAAAAAGCAGCCATAAAAGCTTGGGAGTCTAAGCTGGTGGTATATATATATCCATTGTCATTCATTAAAGAATTTGTGGCTCCTGTGGAGCTGGGCCTCTAGTTGTAGAGACTTCTCTGCTGGTTTAAATTTGAAACTGAACACAAGTTTCAAATAACTATTTGTTTTAACTATTTGTAAGGGAAATTACACATTGATTTGTAACTAATAAAATAGAGCATTCTCATGTAGTCACAGACACCAAATTCATTTATAGATTCTATTATGTGATGTTGCTTTAAAAGTTCACAAAATACTCCTAAATAATATTTTGGAAAGATGAATGTAAAATATAAAAATTTGAACCTGCATACTTGTGCATGAATCTGAGTTTAGTTATGACAAATTAAAGTTGGGGTTTGTCCTTTTCATTTTGAGGGTAACCTTTTACCCTTTTGTCACCAGAAGTGCCAGTGTAAGTGTGTGAAAGTAGTAACTGTATCACTTTCTGGACTATTGAGTGGACAGTCGAGCGTAGCTCTCACTTACTGTATTGCACTGTAACTGCAGGGCCCAGACAAGGCCCTCAGTATGGAGACCAGGACACAGAAAGTCACACACTCACTAACCCAGTATAACCTAAGACACTCAAACGCAGATTTACAATAAAATGTTTTTTTTTTTTTTTGATGCAGAGATCTTACAAGCCACAAGACTCCCCTGAAACATACTCCTACCAAACTAGAAGAAAAAAAAGTTGCCTCGGGAGATCAGCCCCTGAAAATTACCACCAGGAGACTGGAACAGCCAGAGGCTGCCACCACAGTCAGGAGGAAGTTGGCTTGGGATGCTGCCGAGAGCACAAAGGAAGACACCCAGGAGGAGCCCAGAGCAGAGGAGGATGGGGGAGAGGAAAGAGGAAAGGACAAGCAGATCTGTGCCGGAGAGTTAGAGAAACTGGACACACAGACGTCTAAGGCAGACAGACCGACAGAAGGGTGAGACCTAAGTTCCTCAGCATATAGGACATTGTAGTACATGACTAAAGCGTATTTCCTGGGTCACTGGGTCTACGGTTACACCGATGGCTCTGTGACTAATAAAGAGCAGTGCCACATGGTATGTGCTGGGATTCGACCCTGCAGACCCTTGAGCCACACTGAGCGCAGTGGAGCTCCGAAGCACTGTGCTCTGCCAGGAGGAATCAGATAGTCCTCACACACGCCCTGTGGTGAGGATTTGCCAGATTTGTAGTGTGTCAGAAAGAAGGACTTCACAGGGGAAACTGGGATCCATTATTATCAGACACTTCTGTCAAGAAAGAAAGGCCATTCTCTTGTAATATTTTTAAAAGTGGTTCCGTGTGCAGACAGCTTTGGGGGCGTGGTGTTTGCTGTTGCTGACGGCCCACTTTGTCTGAGCCAAACCCTTTGTTCATTCATGGATGTTGGTAGTGGGGAACGTGGGTGCTGACTAACTGGAAGACGTCTTCGTAATGGATGACTGCCTACAATGGCCGCCTCCTTTCTAGGCTTCGTTTCTCTAACTCCATATAGATTAAGACGCTTTAAAAGGATTGCTTTTAAGTAGCGACTTCCCTATATAGCCAGAGTGGCTTGGAACTCGTGACTCTCCTGAGGCTGCCTCCTAAACACTGGGGTTATAGGCTCCTTGCATTTTTTTCAGAAACAAAAGTAGACTTCTCTTAGATGGCTTAGTTTTATTGCTGTACTACTGAACGGTGATGATGCAGCTGTGACCGTATTTTCTGGAAGACAGGCTTCCTAATAGATTGCCTCACTCTTTAGGTCAGAGACATCTTCGGTTTCCTCAGGGAAGGGAGGCAGGCTTCCTACACCGAAGCTGAGAGAACTCGGTATCCAGCGGACTCACCATGACCTCACGACACCCGCTGTTGGTAATGATCAGCCCTGCTGCCTGTCGTCTGCCCTTTTAGAATGTAGCTTAGTGTGACTGACTTGTGATTTCCATGGGATTTTCCAGGTGGGGCAGTCTTAGTGTCGCCATCTAAAGTGAAGCCGCCAGGCCTGGAGCAGAGGAGGAGAGCGTCCTCCCAAGATGGCTTAGACACTCTGAGGAAAGACAGTACTAAGGTAGGTATTTATATTTCAGAGGAAAACCTATTCTTGTGTTCCCATAGTCTCATATGATAAATGACATGTAGCCTCAGACTTCGGAAGATCCCACCTATTGCATGGAGAAGTATCCGTTAACTCTTAGTAAGGCAAGACCAAGGCACTGGGATTTATTTGCTTATTTCGTTGGTCTTGACGTTGTTTTGCTGCTGATACACATTTAAACATTCTTAGTAGTGGCTCGTCAGGAAGGAAGAAGAGTACAATCTGTTGTCTGCTAGTTGTGTTCCAACCACGTTCCAGGCACTGTGTAGCACTGGAGATAAGAGCTGAGACCAGGGCTCATCCAGCCTTCAGCCTAGTGGAGGGCGGGGCTGCAGTCATAACATCAGAGGTAAAACACAACAGGTAGGTATCGGTGGGTGCTGTGAGACACGAATAATCAGGGGACGAGCAGGAAGTGGTCAGGGAGGGCCTCCCCAGCAAGGGCGTGTTGAAGCAGAAGCTGAAAAAGATGCAGGACTGATCTGGTCATGGGAGATGGTGTTCTGGACAAAGGGAACAGTGATGCAGAGTCTCTGAGGAGAGAGGATATTATGTCAGTCATGTATTCTTGTGTCAGGAACAGAGGATAGTCTGGGCAGTGGGCTTTGAGACGCAGTGCTGTGCTGAATTGTGTAGGGCTTCGCAGAGCATGGAGAAGGCACACATGTTCTTTTCAGTGAGACAGTCTTGGAAGGGCAGAGCAGTGACTGGATTTGACTCAGGCGTTTTCAGTCACTCCCGCCATTGCATTGAGAGTGGACAGCAGGGAACACGTGTAAAGCAGCTAGCAGTCGGTTACCAGACCCAGGGAGACTGGGCGGTGCTGTGGACTGTGGTGGTAGGTGTGAGGGTCTTCTGATGAAGTCCAGTTCTGCATGTACACTGAAGACGTGTGTGCCGAGAGATGCTGAGAGGGGATACGGCATGGGAAGCATTAAGGATAACCGGAAACCTTTGTCCTGAGCAGGAGGAATGGAATGGCTGTTTAACTGAGATAGGGAAGATGGATAAGAAAAGACTTGTCAGAAAACAGCAAGAGTTCTCTCTAGGACATGTTCAACTTGAGAAGTTTACAAGCTATGAGTCAACATGTTGATGGGAACTGACGATGCACATTTGAAAAGCTGGGTGCAGAGAGATACTGCATGTGTGTATGTGTATATACATGTATGTGTGTACACACACACCATTGAACAGGTATTGGAAGACTTAGGCAATCCAGGGGATAAATATCGATGGAGAGGAGTGGGTGCAGACATATCCGGGCCCAGGTCTTGGTATTAGGGAGCTGAGAAGTAGTCAGAAGAAGGGGAACTCAGTGAGGTAGTGAGAGTCAGCAGTGATGTCAAAGGGAAAGGGGCATCAAGAGGCTGCACTGTGGCTCGGTGGGGACTGTCTGTGTCTGCTGTGCATGGGGCCCTGGGTTCAATCCTCAGTACTACCAGCTAAAATGGATGATAGATAGATAGATAGATAGATAGATAGATAGATAGATAGATAGATAGATAGATAGATAGAATCTTCCTTCTGTTCTGGGGAGAAGGCTCAGTGACTAAGAGTGCTTGCTGGTCTTTCAGAGGACCAGACTTTGGTTCCTAGCACCCAGGTGAAACAGCTGATAACAGCTGGTAACTCCAGCCCCTGGGGATCAAGTGCCCTCTTCTGGCCTCTGGTGTTATTCTCACAAATGGCATTCACAAGTGCGCTCAGGTGTTCAGGTATTGTACACACACACGCATACACACACGCACACGCACACGCACACACACACACACACACACAAGAAAAGTGAGTGTTGGCGCTTCTAAGTCAGTAGGAATGAGACTTAGAGTCAGTCAGAATCTTGTAAAAGCCAGAGTACAAGAGATTCAAGGGAAAAGACAGGCTGAGTTCGGGACAGCCACTGCGGGCGTGCAGGTTTGCTTGTAATTGGCAGTGGCAGGAGTTGATCCTACGGCTGTGGCCATGGTAGGCAAATGCTACACCATTGGCTGCATTCCCAGCCTCCAGACACGGTCTGTCTAGAGCTCTGTCCAAGAAAGGATGGGAAGAGCAGTGGGTGTTGGGTGAGACTGACATATGTCATCTGTAGCATAATCTGTAGATACCCAGCCTTAAACTCCAAGAATGGGCCACACTACCAGCCCCACCCCAGTTCCCTTAGACCCTCGGATGAAAAGCAGACACACACACTTTGTTCAATTTCAGCGGGTCTTACTGGCTCAGTTGCTTGACACTTCTAATCTCCTGCCCTTCCAGCACAACACCCTAAATCTTCCCCCAGCTTCAGTTGCTCAGTTACCTTTAGTCCTGGCTCAACTCCCTAACCTCCCACCTGGAGGAGCGGCCTAAGGTTGATCCACCTGAGATCTCACATGGTTGGTCACCTTTTCCTCCTCCGAAGTGTGGTAAAAGTTCCTCTTCTCCACTGCATCTCCTCTCCTCCCCTGCAGGGACTTGGAAGTCCCACCGCCTTCCTTCCACCCAGCAGTCTTTGCACTTCAGATCTCTGAGGGGCTCTCAGCACCATCTGAATGACACCCAAGACATCTTAACTGATAAATCAAGAGCCAGTTAGGGAACAGGACCTTCGAATCAGACCCACCTCCTACGAGCACGCATCTGTTGATGAAGATAACCATACAGAAAAGTTTCACACACATGCTGTGTGTTTCTCTCATATTTGCTCCTCATCGCCCTCTCCTGCTCAACTCCCACCCACCCCCTTCCTCCAGCTAATGCCCCTTCCAGCCTGCCCTTCCTTCCCCCTCCTTCCCTCCTTCCCCTCTTACCCCTGTTGGCTAGGGTTTCTTACAGAACCCTGTGTGAGTAGGTTTTTACAAGAGCACCTGCGGCCTACAAGTCATGCTACTGAAGAAAAATGTCTCTCTCTTCCCAGAGACCATAACTGTCTACAGATACCCAAGGAGGGATGAGGTTCCTCCCCCCCACCCCCGCCAGCTAACACTGCATATTTATGAGTCCCCAAGGAAGAGTCCTGAGTGTCAGAGAGAGGGCAGTGCGGGAGGGGAAAGAGAAAGAGAAAAGAAAGAATGTGGTGGATCTACAGGGAAGGCAGAAGGAAGTGAGGCAGGAGGAAATGAGGTAGGCTGAGGAGCTTGGGTGTTGTCCTGATGGCGTTGGGAGCCCCTCAGAGATCTGAAGTGCAAAAGGGTTTGACCCACAGAGAAAATCAAGTCACTGGCTGCTCCTGGGAACTCTTTTCTTCAAGGAGAGTTGGAATCGTGTGCCAGCAAAGAGGCTTGAGTTGAGGTTCAGAACTAGACCAGTCAGTTTCATTCAGCCTGAGGATCCCTTCAATTAAAACATTTTGTCTTCTTATTCAGCTCCTTTTAACAGTGGTGAAATCAAGATGACAGAGCGTCTAAGCCATATAGGAAGAAGAACACAACTGTTGTTTAGTGTGACTTGAAATTTACCAAGTGTACAGGAGAGCGAGGAAGCAAATGGGAGATTTATGTTCTTCTCCTGGACCTTAAGTTCTCTTGGGAGGAAGCCATTAGCTCTTCAGTCACAGATGCTTCCCCTTGGAAACTGTAAATGTCACATCCATGGGCTCAAACGAGGGCACGGTGGAAGTCCAAGCAGTGATTCAGACTGTTGTGCCTGTGTGTGATTTTGCTACTTTGTCATCTATCAAAAAGTGCCATCGGCCAGGCAGTGGGGGTGCAGGCTTTAATCCCAGCACTCAGGAGGCAGAGGCAGGGGGTTCTCTGTGAGTTTTGAGGCCAGCCTGGTCTACAGAGCTTGTTCCAGTACAGCCAGGGCTACACAGAGAAACCTGTCTCAACATCACACCCCCCACCATCAAGAACCCCCAATCAGTCATCAAGGACTCTCAGGGTTAAGCTGTCCTGTTGCTGTGGAAAACTGAAAATACGGATGAGTGAGAGAGGATTGTTGATACCGATGGCGCTGTGTGTGGCAAAGGTCACTGTTAGAGGCCCTGAGGGTCTCAGTGACAGTGTAGAGATAAATGGTAGCTGCAGGCAAGGTTTCATAATCTAATTTTTTTCCTCTTACTTTTTATATGCTAGTTTTGTTTCAGTTTGTATACATCTTTTTCTGTTTTTTTTTTTTTTCCTACTGAGTTCTACCGCGAACATATTTTTGCATCATTAGGCATCACTTTTTTGGTTTTTCGAGACAGGGTTTCTCTGTGTAGCCCTGGCTGTCCTGGAACTCACTCTGTAGACCAGGCTGGCCTCGAACTCAGAAATCTGCCTGCCTCTGCCTCCCAAGTGCTGGGATTAAAGACGTGTGCCACCACCGCCCGGCAAGGCATCACTTATTTTAATGGGAATATGAATGCTGGCTATAGTTTAAAAGTTTTAAACCAGATATTATTGTTTATATATAATTTTCAGATTTGTATCATTTCATTTTTATAAAGGATACATCTGTCAGCTATGTTTTGGTTCATATTAGTGTTATCAGCTCATGTGTTTCCCAAGTATTAAAAAAGAGTTCAAGTACACAGTTTCGAAGCTTATGCTGGGTTTTGCTGGGCTCTCTGAAAGAGCGAGCGCCCAGGAAGTCTGTGGAAGGTTCCTGTTTTTCTTCATCTTTGTCATGTCTGCATATTCTATTTAATTTAGTTAATTTCTACAGTTTGGTAAGTGAACAGTTAGTACTTCAGTGGTTTTATTCTGTGATTTTAAAAGGCTAGTGAGATAGACTGGTCACTATACTTTTATCTGTCTGAATTGCTTGCATATGCCCTTTTCTGCTTAGTAATGAAGCTTACCGCTTATTGCTCTAAGAGGATATTTATTATCGTAATAATAACTCTTTGTTGATGTCTCCACATACTTTGTTGGTTCAGTACATTGTTAATGTACATTTTACTGTTACACTAGCATTTCTGTTTCTCTTGTCAGTGGTTAAGCCATCTCTCCAGGGACACTGTCACACGTTCTGTGATGTGTGAATGGTCACATCTGAATGTTGATCCGTTCTTTACTTTTGTACACACGTATGCATCTTTTTTTTTTCTCCCCAGAGAGGAAAACCCCGTCCTATGTCTCTCCTGACTTCTCCTACTGCCGGCATGAAAACAGTTGATCCCCTGCCTCTGCGAGAAGATTGTGAAGCCAATGTGCTCAGATTTACTGAGGGTACTCTTCCTGTTTCGAAAATTTCGGACCATCAGCCCACCACCCCCGGGCAGCCTTCTCCATATGCCCTGCCTTACTACCACTCTTCCAGCAGGATCCAGGGCCGTCTGCGAGACCCTGAATTTCAGCACAACAGTAAGGATTTTGGTTTTCATTTCTTATCTTTTAAAAATAAAAGTGTTATACCGATAGATCCATGCAATGAGAGGAACCACACGCTGGTGAGCTCTATTAGGTGTTTTTCGTTTTCTTTTTCTCTTTTCCTTTTTCCTTTTTAATTTATGATGGCTTTCCCTTCTTTCCCTCTCTCTCCCTCTCGCCCCTCCTTCTTCCTTAGTTTTAATTTCCTTCCTTTCAGCAGGGTCTCACTAGGCAGCCTAGGCTATGGATTTCCCTTGTGGATACCGGACTGTGCTGCTGCACCCAGGTTCACAGTTCACTCCATAAAGGGAAAGGCACATCTCAGGTTCTTACCAAGACACATAAGGAGACTGACCAGGGGCCAGTGGTGCGTCGTTTTCAGGCAGGACAACAAAAACGGTCCCTGAGCATTGCTTGGTGTTGCTCAGAAGGTAGAATTCAAGATTTGCGCATTCCAGGAAATTCTGGTTTCCTTAGGTTTTGTTAGACATTGCTCTGCTGGTTGGGGTTGTCCTCTGTCACAGCTGAGAATCCTCTGGCAGCTTTTGTCCTGTAGCTTTTGTATGTGGTGGCTGCTTTCTGATGGCTTTGGGATTGTCTGTTCATACTGCTGCTGATACTTTACAACGATGCTTTTTAGAGGTGGATGTCTCCCCACTTGTTCTACTGGCTCCCTGTAGACCTTTCCGCTGGATCAGTTCTTCCAGGAAGTTTCCTTAAGCAGTCATTTCTTCCTTCTCTGTTCCTTTCTACTGCCTCTGTCCTTGGATACAGGGTGCGTGGTCACAGGAGCTCCCGAAAGCTTTAGGCGTATTTTTGTCGCGCTCCTAAGAGAGGCAGTTATCCAGCTGGGTAACTTTGGAGAAGATGGTGTGCTCTAGCCGTTGCATACAAAGGTTTTCAGAGTCCCCTGCTTCACCTTACCTTCACTACATCTTGCAGGAAGACTGAGCAGTCTCCAGCCCCTCTAACCCCCATCCCACACCCCCATCACCTGGGGACAGATACAGGCTGCCGAGGAGAGTTCCTCCACTCTGCTGACTAAGGCTTCCCCCACTCGGGTAAATTCCATGTTTATCTCCCTCACTTGCTTTCCATTCTCCAACTTGGTTACTGTTTCCTAGGCTTTCGTTTCCTTTGTTCTGTGAGCTTCTGCTGCTTCTCTAAATGTGGATATTTGAGTTTTCATCTCTCAGTAGAAGCCTACTTTGTCTCTTTGAAGGTACATCAGTGTTATCATTGGGTAGAATTCTAGGCACCTAGTTATGATGTATGTACTTGGTAAACACATTACAATTACCCAGTGGTCCTTTGATGTTGTAGTGTCTATTAATATACAAACGTAACTGAAAACATTTCTGATGGTTTACTTTCATGAATAGTTTACTGGTTTGCTGTGTCAGATCTCCTGAGATTGGGCAGTGTAAAACTAACAGAGATGGTGTCTCATGGCCACTAGAAGCTGGGAAGTGCACGACAGAGGGGCTGGCATCTAGTGGAGGTGTCCTTGCTGCATCATCTCCTGGCAGGAAGTGGAGAGAAGGAGGGGCAGACCCTCCCTGGTACGGCTTTAGGTCACAGCCTGTCCATATCTGAAGGTCCAGTCTCCTCATGTGATCATGGCGGCAATTCAGTTTTCCTGTGAAAGTTTGGAGGGGACAGACGTGCAAACCATTCCACTAACGTGATGTTTTGTAGCTAAAGAATAATGTCTTCTGCCTTTTTTCTTCAAGTGAGAAAACCAAGGATGAACCATTTGCAGCTACACCCGCACGATGCCTTTAATGATGAAGGTATTTAGTAGTTATTTAAAGGTCAACGTCGGCTCCTTTGCAGGGCGGGTGCTAGCTGGCTTACGTGTGCCTGTACTTCTCAGGTTGCAGAGTGCTTCTGCAGATGTTCCCACATTAGGTCCTGAGACCCCATGACAGGGATGCAGATGTTCCCATCTTACCCAGAAGTCCCCTGGGCTGTGTGCTGGGGAGTCTTTCCCCTGCAATGGGTGCCTTGCTCGGCAGAGCCGCGTCCTGCCTGCTTCTGCCTGTCTGTCTAGGAAAGTTGGCCTGATGGGCCATTTTTTTCAAATGCCTGTATATTCTTACCATTTTCATCTCTAAGAATATGTGTAATTGATGAAAATGGACTCTCTTCCTCCTGCACTGTCTTCATCCTGTCAGAGTTTTTAATTTTAATACAGGCAGGAGGAGTTTTGAAGTCTTGAGGTAAACCATCAAAATGACTATTATCCCATCCTAAGAAGCATGTAATCTGTGAAGTGCCAATAATTCTTGAATTTATTGACTTTGAGTTGGGAAATAAATTTAAATTTAATGCTCTTTCCATTGGATGCTAAGTACATTAGAAGGTTTTTCTCTTTAAGTTTGTAGCTCTTTATTCAGTGAACTGTAAAGCAAGTTATGTTTTGAAATACAAATCTGGCTGCTTTGCATCTACTGCTGCTTTTTGTCTTGATGATAAATACCAGTTTCTGTAAGTACGTGACGGCTTGCTCACTCAGAATATGGAATTTCAACACTGAAAAGGGTAGCATATTGCCAGATATTCCCCCCTACAATTAGTGAGATTTTTTCAAAAAGTAATATAATAAACCATGTTAAAATATAGCATTTTGAAAAGATTCATTTTTATTACTTTTGATAATGTGTATTTGAGCATGTGCACATGTATGTAGGTGCCCTTGGGCCAGAGGCATGGGAATCCCCTGTAGTTGGAGGGGTGGATGGTTTGAGCCACCCAACGTGGATGCTAGGAATGGAACTCTGGTCCTCTGGAACAGCATAGTACCCTTAGCCTCAGCCATCTCCCCAGACCCAGCACTTTGCTTTTTAAATTGAAAACCTTTATTTATTTATTTATTTTTTGCTCCAAATAGTTGTACTTCTGAAAGTAGGATGGCTTCCCCTGATAATACTGAAATCAGAGGCTGTGCTTACTTAATGACATTATGGGGTTCCAATGATGTAAAAAGTTCTCATCTCATTGGCATGTTTGACCTCTGATAAACTGGGAAAATGGCCACGAAAGATGATGAGCCAAACGTTCCGTTTCCCAGGTTCCTCGTTTCTCATAGACCCAACATCAGTATTAGGTCTAGACGGTTTCAGCTTCCTGGCAGTATCACTTTAAGCATAATATTGTTTGTAGATTTTTTTCCATGAATGTAATCCTGGGATTCTCTCATTACAGATGCAGATAGACTGTCTGATATCTCTGCTCGCTCTGCAGTTTCCAGCCTCCGGGCTTTCCAGACTCTAGCCCGAGCTCAGAAAAGGAAGGAGAATTTCTGGGGCAAACCATAAACCTGCTCATCCTGTCTAGAGACAAGTTGGCTCACCTTTCCTTACTCGCTGTCTTAGATTTTCGGAGGGCTTGGATTTTCTTCTGACACTTCTGACTCTGATCATTTGAATTTTCAGTGGCTCATCTTACCCAGAAGATCGTAGCGCAGCCGTGTCTAAGTTTAACTCTTTGGAGAAGTCCTTTGCACTTGTCTGAGGGCAAAGGCATGGATTATGTAGTTCTTCACAGACTCTGTCTTTTGTATCAGGTGTTGTGAGTGGCAGTTAGGAGTGTGACGGTCATCTGTCAGCAGAGTATTCTAAAGGGATAAAATGACGTCAACATTAAGATCTTCCAACTTAATTCCCCCTCAGATTGGTTTTAGGCATTTTAATAGCCGTAGGTGTCCTGAACGGAATCTGTCACTGTTTTTATTAGCGCCTTCTGTATACACAGGTGCAGTGTTAAGATGATTGGACTTTGAAAATCTGGCTGTACATATTTTTCTTATTTATGTAACAAAATTTGCTGAGAGAATATGTATATTTTTGATCTTTTTATGTATTTTATTTGTATAATAACTGGTATACATTTGAATAATGTCTAGATTTTGAGAAATTATTTGTGAAATGGAGAATTAAAACTTTGTAGACATTTAAAAATGAAAATTAAGTGTGCTTGGCTTCTTCAGAAAGTTATCATGTGGAATAAGTATCTTCTAGAAGCATTTTATTAGAACCGATGTGTTGCAGCTGCTAAATGCAGTAAGACTGAGCCTACAGTATTTGTTTTTTTTTCCCCCACAAATACAAAGTTTTAAAAACAGATTCATTAAAAAATTTAACACCAACTTGGTGATTCTGTTTTTCTTTTACAGGAGATATTTAACTGTTGTTTACAAATCAGGATAAATTTAAGTTTCTAATAAGAATGGGTTTCATAAACATGTTAAACACAATCTTTGTAACAGTACATGTAAACTGCTTGGTATGGTTTGGGTTTTCTTCTTTTTGGTCAAGAGAGGGTCTCTCTAAGACTGTCCTCAAACTCACTCAGGATCCACTACGATTCTCTGTGTTAGCCTCCTGAGCCTCGGATTACAGGCAGGTGCTCTCCTGCCTGACAAAGGTTTGCACCTTCAGTGACACCCCCAGATGGTGTGTGTGGGAAGGTTGAAAGCACTGTTTGGAAATGGGGGAGACCAGGAAGAAGGCAGGCCTGGCTGCAAGAGTTAGCTCACTGGGGTGTGCCTTTGAAGGGTATAGTTTGTCAGCAAGTGTTGACTTTTGCTGACCTATGCAGAACTATTTGCAAGACCTGGGATTTGAAGACCTTAAAGGATGAGGCTGACTACAGTTTAATGCTGAGACAGCCTCAGTGTCAGTGTACCTATGTACGTACATGAATGTAGCAACAGAAGTGATACTTGGAAAAACATGTAAATAAACACCAGGAAGGCATATTAAATATTAACAGAGCAGCCCTTTCTCAGGACAGACCAATTTAAACACAATTGCCTGGTACTTAGATTATATCTGAGAAAGCATGCGATCAAGGCAGAAGGCTGTATCTGGACTCAGAATACCCTGAAGACAACACTCAACATGTCCCTTCTCCAGATGGGGCTATATAGCTATGATCTGACATCCAACACGAATGAGCATGTCTTTTAAGTTAAATGGAAATGTTTAACACGAGAGGCAGGAAATCACGTCCAAGGATAATCCAGAGAACCAAATGCACCCGAGGTGAAAGGCCTCTGTCTTCTTCCTGAAGTCTTAGTCAGGAGAACAGGCTGTGAAATTTCCCAGTATCTAGAAGGAGCTGTGAATTCGAATTTGCTTTATATCAATTTTATCTAGGCATGCTTTAACAAGCTGATATTGTTTCGATTATATCTTGACAAGTTTTGACAGATTTCCACATTTGAAACCAGTGCAGGCACCAAGGTATGGTTCTAGCCAGTGTTTTCCTGGTCCTCAAGGCAGCCACAACTCAGAGCTTGGAAACTGTTTCTCTGGATTTCACTTATATTTTTGAGATGGCTCGTGTTTTGGTGTGGATGTCTCCTTTTTAGCTTACTCATCCACTGACAAACTTCTGGATGGCTTGCAGTTTGAGGCTATACCGAACATGTTTGCTACTTGCATTGTGAATCCTCGAGATGGGCTGTGCTTTCTGCTTTCTTCAGAATCACTCCCACCTTTATTTACCTTTAGTGTAACTTTTTTTCCCACCCCTTGAGATAGTGTCTCTCTGTGTAGTCTTGACTGGCCTGGAACTCACAGACATGCACCTGCCTCAGCCTTGGGTTAGACATGTGCCACTATCTCTGACTTTAATATACCACATTTATCTATCTATCTATCTATCTATCTATCTATCTATCTATCTATCTATCTATCTATTTAGAGCATATGTGTTAAAGGTACAGTATGGACAAGTGGGTATAATAACCTGATGACTTTGTGTGTTTGAATTGGCATTTCATGAGCCAGACTCAGGAGTGAACATTTAAATTTAAATCTCTGTAAGAGGTTTCCCCCAACCACACCCTCTCCTCTTCTGTCCACCCCCATATCCACTCTAGGAGCTGACTTTCACTATGATACCCTGGTTGAGAACCCAGGACAAATGCATATGTGTGCATACATACGTGACACGGTTTGCATGCTGATCTTTGGTCTGGAGTCTGAATTCCAAGTTAAGAACATTTGAAGAACAATTAGAAACATGATTAAGTGTGTTTGGTATATTAGTAGAAACTAACATGAAATCTGAACAGAATCATGTTTGTTTTATTAATAAAACAAATTTAATAACTTGGCCCAAGACCCCATTGGCCAGTGGGTTAAATCTAGGTCTTCTTACTTGAATTCCACCTACACTCCTTTCTCTGAAATGTTTTTGCTCACATTTAATATCTACTATGAATCATATTTCTGGTTGATTCATTTGGGAGTTGGTTTTTTTCCTTGACTTCTTGGAAGATAAAATATCTTTTCGAGTCAGGAGAAGGAGAACGTGGGCACTGGTTATCATGCGAATGGACTCAGCCAGGATGAAAGCGAATTAACACACAAGTTTGTCCTTCTACAGAGCAGTGTCAGAGCTAGCCTTCCTGGGCGGCTAAAGGATACACTACGTATACACCTTCACTGTGGTTGTGTACACATATAGTAGACACAGCATAGTTACAAAACGTATTGATCTTTCTGGATGTTTAACAAAGGAACAACGAGTCTAAAATGGTGGGTGCTTTACCATGTGCTGGGTTGTAGTCTGACAGCGTGTTTGGGGCCTAGTTAGTATTTGTCAAGCTGTCATAATCTATTTCCCCAGATAGAATGATGTCTCCGTCTGCCTCATTGTAGCTCGACCGTCCAGTTCATCCTGTAGATTAAAAGCAGCCCAGTGGGGGGCTCAGCTGATGGGCTTCCATGGCAGTAATGCTGACCTTGACCAAGCATAGATGTGCCTCTTTCCTGGGGTGGGTACAGGCACAGAGAGATCTGCCCCTCACTCACTTTCAGAACCAAGCTTCCTTCGTCCCGTTTCCTAGTTCTTCCTGCTCTGGTGCTCCTAAGCAAGAGACAGCTCTCCAGTCCTGAGAGAACTGACATACAGCAGCTGAAAGCAAGCAGCTTCCCCTAAGGTGGTGCCCGTTTTCTTTCTGTCAGTGGCTCATCCACTAGTCTAATTCATAGGTTTATGACACCCCAGACTCTGTCAGAATGTTTCCTTGGAAACAGTGAGAAATGAAGATTTGAGGGACATTGAACTAACTCTGAGAGTCAGATCCTGATCCCAAATAGGTAGAGTGATATTGGGGAGACCCTGATCATTTCAAGCCAAACCATGAATATTCAAATTATGCTGCGAAATTTCTCCATATATTCTGTGTCTGATAGTATGTTAGAGCTAGCTTTCGGGCCCTTGGTAAATTACTCAATCTGTGAACAGGTTGCTAAACCATCAACAGTTTGAAAGTGCCCCCATCAGCAAGCCGTGTGAATCAGGAGCATTTCTGACCTCCCTCCCAGAGAGGCAGTGTACCAGCTTTCCCACTGCTGTGCGCCATCGATAGCTGCTGTTCTATTCGTATCATTTCTCTGATGGAGAAAACATCCATTCCAGGAGATAAGCAGCAGCTGTAGTGTTAGTCACACTGTCCACAGCTCGGCAGACACAAACAAATGCTTTCTCTAGCTTGCTTTCTTGGGTGAAATGCATCTAGAAACAAAATTAAGCCTCAGGTGGCAAGGCCATGTGGTCTTCCCCAGGAGCATCCATAATAGACCCGTGGACCAGCCCAGAGATGGGCCTAAGATTCTGTATATATGATCTTCTAGATCATTCCGAGGCTAAGATACTTTGGGAATCACTGGCTTTGGATTATAACAGCCCATAGTCTGATCTCAGTTCCTCCTAGAGCAAGTCTATTCAGCTTTGAGCCTGTGTTGTTGTTCTTGCCAATGGGCTCATTTAGTCAGAAGGTTAAATGGTGTGATGCTTGTAAAATTTTACATCTGCCATCTCAAAATATTTTATTGGCAACCTTTTTAAATTAAAACAGTAGGCGAAAGGGGGCTCATCTCAGGGTCACTCCTGATAAGGCTAGTAAACAGGGGACACAGTGGCCTGAAACGAAACTATGGCACACCTCAGCACAGACCTATCTTTTCTGACCTACATTCTGCTCACACGGAGAGGCAGTTTTGGGAAGAGATGCTGAAATGATTTGTCTATTTCCGTTATGTGGTAAAGAAAAAAAAAAAAGATTCTGACTGCAGTGTTGTGACTCAGCGATTGCACAGGGCAGAATCAATTACCTTGTGTATGCAAAGCATGTTAGTGTAACCATGAATTGGAGATGTTATCAGACCTGAGTCAAGAAATGCAAGATGCAGAAGCCCTGGAGACTGCCGATGAAAGATTGTCAAGCTTGCTCCCTGAATGAGTGTATATCCAATATCAAAGGCTTCCTATGAGTGTTGCTCGTTATATCTAAGACAAATAACTAAGCTCTGTCATCTCAAGAAGAAAATAAAAGCTAACCTCAATGTCGTGTATTATGGGAAAATGTAGATGACTCTCTCAGACTTCAGTGAGAGTCCGGGTTCAGACCCTGTCTTCACTCAGGAAAATTGCCCACAAAGACTACCTTAGCGTGTGATGTTCCCATTAAAATTTAGGTCAAGACAGATGATGGGGAAACCAACACAAAATCTGAAAAAGGGTTTGTGCAACAGTGCTTAGTCGGGTTCCATAAAGGACCCATCATCGGAGTTTGCCTTGTAGTTTTGCAAAGATAGAACCCACCAAGGTACATTAGCCATAGAGAAAGTACACTCGGGATTAGCAACATTGAAACTGGCTTCCGCCATGTTCTAAGACCCGGCCATTTCCTCTGATCAGTCACAATCCTAGGTGAGGAGATCAAGGGATGAAATCTGTTCACATTTGTTTTATAATGTGGAACGGTTGAAGCCCGGAGCAGCAGAGACAAACTGAATACATGCACTTCTCTAGGGGCCATAAGACAGCAGTGTGAATAGTTTTGATGCAGAAGTGTTTGGAAAGACCGGGTATCTTAAGAAGATTCAGTGGTGGTTTTCACTCATTCACTCATTTGCTCATTCTTTCATTCACTCATTCACACACTCATTCACTCATTTATGTACACACACATTCATTCTCATTCATTCATTCATTCATTCACTCACTCATTCACTCATCCATGCACTCATTCCCTCCCTCATTCATTCATTCATTCACTCATTCACTCATCCATGCACTCATTCACTCACTCATTCATTCATTCATTCACTCATTCACTCATCCATGCAC